CCCCAAGGGGTCCCATACATTCGGGCGTTCAGGTTCGGGCGTTCGGGTTCGGGCGTTCGGGTTCGGGCGTTCAGCCCGTCCCGAACTTCGGTTACCCTGTTCGTGACAATAATCTGCGCGGACTTGTCGAAGAGCTCCGCCGTTGTCGTCAGGGTGTCCTCGACGTGAGTCAAGGCATTGCCCAATGCCAAACACGACCTCGAGATGAAGTAGTGTTTGACGGCCTTGAAGCCCATTTGAAGGTCTGGGACGGATGTGAAGCGTTGGTACTCGGCAATCCAGTCAACACTCGGCAGCGTGCCTTGTTCAAAGGTCATCAGCTTGTCCATCGCCTTGATCTCTGGCAGCTCTACTTGGAACCGCGTATGCCACGCCCCCTTTAGATCATCCCAGCTGATCTTGGTATGCAAGTCGGCAGCCACCACTCCGTACTTGGACAAGAGATTGTCCAACCATGCTTGGCACGCGCCCCCCGACCGGGAGTATAAGTACGTCTGGTGCTTGTGTTCGCCGACGTGGTGGAGCTGCAACTTGAGCTCGAACTTGCGGAACCATGGAATCGGGTCCGTCTTTCGAGTCGAAGAAGATCTCCTGATCATCGAACCTTGGAGTCGTCTCGCGCGGCTCCGAGCTCGAGTGGGTGGCGGCAGTACAGATCCTCTGCTCCAACTGTTGCGTTGCGGTTCGCTGTAACTGCACGCCGTCCTTGAGGGATCCGACATCAATCTCCAATGCCTCGAGGCGATTGGAGGTGTTGGAAGAGCTGGCATCGGGGGCAGCGATGGGTCGTTGCTTCAGCTGCTGTAGGCGGCTGCTGACTTGAGCTAACACGTCGTCGAGGCTGTGGATATCCTCCTGCTGTGTAGTGCACGTTGCCAGGAGGTCCGTGAGATGGGAGAGGAGTTGAGCGATCTTGTTTTCACTCTCTTCCCTCTTGCCATTCTCGGCCTCGGCCCGCCAGTCCACTGACATTGTGAGCAAAGCTCGCTCTCCGCTGAATATCTTCTCGCGTCGTTGAATTCGTTCTTCATCTGCAGCCTTTGCTGCTGCCTCGTCGTGCTGGCGCTGCTGTTCGATTGCCAACAGACGTGCCTTCTCGGCGTCCTCTGCCTTCTTCTTTGATGCGGTTGCTACTGCATCCGACCGTTGCTTAGCTTCGGTAATTAGAAGCAGCATCCGGGCCTGATAGGCCTCGTCCGTTTCCCCGGACATCTGGTCCATGACGGCTGTTTGCGAGCGCGTGAGCATAGACCAGGCCGGGGGGCTGCTGGCGTGGTACTCCCTGCTGCTGACGTGGCACTGCTGTCGGCTGACGTGGCCTGCTGACGTTGCCTGCTGACGTTGCCTGCTGAAGTTGCCTGCTGATGTGGCCTGCTGACGTGGTCTGCTGATGTGGCCTGCTGACGTAGTCTGCTGACATGGCCTGCTGATGTGGCAACTCACCAATGCCGCCGCAGGGGGTACCCGGAGACAGATAGAGAAGGTAAGACCAGAGGGGGCAACAACGTAGGTGGGGAGGGGTGGGTGGGATAAATCGCCCAGATAAGGCTGCTGTTCAATTGCCCTGAGGAAAAATTTTGAACTTTCAGACTGCAAATGATTGTCCGATAAGAATTCCGAAAGAATAAAATTGCGAGGCCATTGCCTCTACGAGCCCCATAAGGCCCCACTTTCGCAGCCCGTCGGCCGCCCTAAGTGAAGGCAGGCTCGACGAGGCCCTCAGGGCCCTTTTCTGGCCACTAAGCAACTCAAGGAAATTCGGGCAGTTGCGCAGCGTCAGTTGGTTGAGTGAACCCAGGCCCTGGGCCGCCTGCATGAATGAATGTGAAGCAGGCCCTGGGCTGGATACGGGTACCGGGCCAAACAAAGGCCGAAGGCATTTGGGCACATGCAACCACTACAGGCCCAGAGCCTGCTCTCGTCGTGCTGGGCCTCAGGCTACCGGGGCCTACCGGAAGCTTCCTGGGACTGGACACAGGCAGGCCACTTCGATATAGGGAAGGGCCTGCCTCCTCATTCGAGATTTGGGTGCTGGCTGCATGCTGTGCAAGCGCTGCTGCGCTATTTGCTGGCTGGCGCCTACGCTCTCACGGGCGAAGAGGGAAGGAGCACGCAGCCATAGCCGAGCTGCGCTGCTGTATGCTGGGTGAAGCGCAGGGTGGTCCTTGGGTGCTAGTGGCATCTGTGAGTTGGGGAACGAGGTTGTGAGTGTAGCGCGAGACATATCTGGTGCTGGAAGCGTGCGACATTGGTCGCCATATGCTCGTACTTTGGGAATGCTGTTGATGTCATCTTTTGGCTTCGTAGTATAGGCTAGATAGGATCTGCCACATGTAGTCTGGGCGCCGAGCGCCAGATAGGATATCAACTCTGGTTCTTCGTTGACGATGATGGGACTATTTCAGAATTGTCAATTATGAACTCTTGGTGTGTTCTTATTTGGTGAATCTCGTGATGTAATTCTGCTGTTGGTTCGAGGTCAAGACTATCTGGACTCGTATGTATGATGCTGTTTGATTGTTGAAGTTCGCTATCGCTCATCTTCCTTGCAAAATACAGCAAGTATTCGGAATTACTCAGATGAGAGTATGCGCAGTTTGGAAAATGATAACTGCAAGCAGGATTTCCCATACCGTTTTCAAATCTCGAAAAAGTTGGAAAACGAATTTTGGAAAAAAATAAATAAATCCAGATTTCCAAATAACGGGAAATTGCAAACGGAAATTGAAATTTTGGAAAATAATATTCCGGCTTTCCAACAATGAAATTTCAAATTTTCAGAAGAAAAAACGAAAACGGAAATTTCAGGTGTTGCGCTGTTGCTATGTTTCAGAACAGAAAGAGCGAGAAAAGTTCAGAAAACAAAATTCAAGAAAAGAAAAAAAATCCGATTTTCGGCAGTGAGGTCAAAATCATGATTTTGGGGGCTAACTAGTGTGCTCTAATCAATCAATCAAGACTAATCAGCTACCTAGTCCCCGCACACGTGTCAGATCAGGTTGTCCTGATTCACGTGCGGTGTTCCGATACCAACTGTTACATGTCCAGTTGGGCGATGTACATATATAACCGAGGATCCGCAGTGTGATGAAAAGGACTGAATGGACAATGCAGTGCAAGTAGAATCTCAACAAGCAATTACATTCTGATACATACAAAGATGGTGCTTTATAGTGCAGGGGAAGACTTAGATACAAGTCCTGACCTGACCGGGACTGACCTCTGTCATGTAAAACAAGATAGCGCAGCAGAATGCTAGAATACGAATGACGAGCCCAATCAATGTTGCAATGCAGACTAAACATACATCATCTTCATCACGAGGTGTGAAGGAGGCCTGGCGCTACGCACAGAAAAATGCGGCAGGTCCTGATCATGCACAGACGAAGAGGAGGGGAGCAGACGAAGAAGAGGGGGGGGGAGATGGGGAAATTGTCAACACCAAGTCTTCGTTACAAGTCCCAAATAATCCTCGTCAAAATGTCTGAAGCCCAACATCGAGTCTGGATCCAAATGTCACCAAGCTCTCTCTCTCTCTCGTAGTCTGCTGATGCAGTGAAGTCAGATAGCGAGAGGGTGAGAGGGAGATGGTGGACTGAGAAGAGGAAGAAGAAGAACTCTCTCTCTCTCTCTCTCTCTCTCTCTCTCTCTCTCTCTCTCTCTCTCT